CCTGGCCCCCAGCCCCCGGTGGGGAGGCGGGAGCTGCTCCCCGCGCCCCAGCCCCGAGGAGCCCAGACAGGCGCTGCCGGCGTGTTTTGACTTCGAGTCCCATGACGGAGCGCCGGATCCAGCAACCCCCAGCTGAGCGGTTGCCAGTTCCCTCAATTAGGAAGGCTTCCTCCCTTTTGTTTAATCCCTCGCTTATTAGTGGTGCTCCCCTCTTTGATCAAAGACTTGCACTGATTTTCATTAGGGTTGAGCAAGAGCCCAGTCCTAGGAAAGGCTGTATCAGGAGAAGCAGCTGCTGTGCCCTGAAGGGCTTCTTCACCCTCGTGACCAAAATCTATAGTCATAGGTGAAGTGTATTTATTCCCAACCAAGCTGGAGAAAACTCAAGTAATCCTCTGCTGGTGAAGTGGCTCTGCTGAATTAAAAGCAGGCAGCACTGTCTGCCCGGGGAGCTCCCGTTCTTCCCACCTCAAGCAGCGGGGAGGGACCAGGCCCTTCCTACAAAAGGGCGAAGCCACAGGAGGAAAAGCCTTGGCGTCACTTTTGGACAGCGCTGTCGAGTGGGGTATCGCCGGGGTGAGTAGCTGCACCCGCGCCTGCCTGGGGTTTTTAGGAACTGCGTCTGCATTAACTCTAACCACGTCCGCTGTCGTCTCCAAGAGACAGACAGCTGCAGAGGACGACTCTGTCTGGGTGAAGAGTGACGAGATCGGGACAATCGCATTATACGCAAAGTTGAGTTTCTAGAGTAATGAGAGGACCCTCAAGGGGAGTAATGACAGAAGTGTGATTTGGGGAGTTGCGAAAAAGGGGCGAGTGACGGATTTACAGAATGTTTGCAAAGCCGTAGTAACAAACTCAGAGCTATCGCCTGAACGCATGCCTGTAGGTAACAAAAGACAAATACAGTTATTTAAATACCACATGAATATATGTGGTGTGCTGATGCCTTGATACGCTCTCCCAGCTACACTATGTTGATAAAAAATAGGGACTGTAAAAAAAGGAGATGAGAGTTGCATGAGAGGAGACCAAAGCAGTGGGAGAGAGGAAGCCACCCCAGCAGGAGACACTGCGGTGGGGCATCAGCCAGAGGTACAGTGGCGTGTGGCTGCCTTTGCCAACTCTACTTTAAACTTCTGCTTCGCAACCCAGCAACGTTAGAAACAAAGTTACACGGTGGGATCGGGCTCTTTACGTAGTGGAAATAGTTAAAAGAATAGCTGGCTGGCTAGGAACAACTACACGCACCTGCTGCTGCGGGGTTGCACCGCTCATCAGCAGTGTACACAAAGCCTTTGAGATGTGTCTCCTCCTAAAGGGACCGACCTCTGGAAAGGTAGGCACGGAGCGGGGGTTGAAATGGCATGCTGAGGGTGGGAGATCTCATGTTTGCGCTGGTGGTCTAGGAGTCGGTGGGGTAGGAATATGAGATGGTGCAAAACACGGTGGGGGCATCGCCAGAGCATTGCAGCCACCCAAGTAAATCAGAGAGATGTGCTCCGGTAGCGTTTTCCTAGCTGCTGTCCCGCCTAGCGCCGCTGATGATCCTCGCCAGGAAAGCAGCACACGCTTTTTATTTTTCATTGCGGCGAGGTGAATGCTTCGTCCCTCTGCCCGACTTGGTTTTACTGTGCCTGTGCTGAGGAAGTCGGTCATGTCACCAGAAGAAAAGAGCTGAATGGGAAATGTGATTTTCTCCACAGAGATTCCTTTAGAAAAAATGCTTTGGGAAATGTTTAGCAGAAAAAAAGATTACTCTTT